ATAGACAGATATTATCTCGTTTAGCTAATCAAATCGTCGGATTCAAAACTAATTTTGTTGAATTTGTGATTACTTTTCTTATCCAGGGACGGAGTCTTCAGGCCCCTTGTGCATAAGAAAATAAATTACAATAAGTTTATGTTGAATGGAAATATTCTATAAATGTGATAACCATGGGAGGTGGTCACTTCACTATTAAAACATATTGGGTTGGATAGACTAATTGCTGAATAATTGAACTGTTTAGAATATCAAGATATTTTTTTATATAGATTTATATATGTGACAATAATTTTTTTATTAAATCATTCATGAGAAAGTTAGCGGTAATAAGCTGCCAGCTCTCTTCACTCACGTCAGCTCGTGGGCCTTCCCAAAATAAATACTCGTAAGTTAGTGTACCTAAATGCATGAGTGCATAAATGGATGGGGGTTGACGTCGTTTTTCCCCCAAACTGAAGCGGAAAACAATTTGCGTAGACAGAAGAGAGCTAGGAGCCGATGGGATGAACGATAAATGGATGAGATGCGGGGAGATGGACGGCTAGGGAGGGATCTTGGGGTGAGTGATGAATCAGAACAAAAATATAAGTTGTTCCAACCCCTATTGAATTCTTCGTCCTGCTCATCCATCTGCTCAACATACGAGAGGTCCGCGGTCTTTGTCAAATCAGTGCAGTTCTGACTCCCGCGACAACCCGTATTCGTCATGCACACATTCTCCCAACATGACATAGTCAATACTCCAAACTCCTCTTTATTAACATTTATCTATACGGATATGTACATAAAGAGTGAGAGTGTGTAAATGAGTCAGGACAAGGGATAAGATGAAGGGAGAGAGAAAGAGAGAGAGAGAGAGAGAGAGAGAGAGAGAGAGAGAGAGAGAGAGAGAGCGGATAGTGTAAATGAGTGAAGACAAGAGACGAGAGATATATAAGCTGGAAGAGAGGGGGGGACTGGGTTTCAAGAATTTCGGTTCGTCCACATGTGTCCGCATCCTGGTCCTCCATGACTCTCTCCAGTCTCGATTAAATGAACGCCAGTCAACGGCCAGGCTGTGGAGGAAGCGATGAGGACTAAGACATGGACGTCGGCAGGAGAACAGGAACCGGGAAACCCGGCCGCCGTAACGGGCGGTACGCTGCCGGTGCCTTCACGGACGAGGGTGGAGCTGGCAGCTGACGCAACGGCTGGCGATGTTCCCCTCCCTCCTTGTGTGGACGGCTGGTGGGATCTTATGCCAAGCGTTAAAATTCGTTTTGAACATAAAACTGGCTTTTACACCTCCTTCAAGTTTCAATTACACCAGAAGAATTACATCTTGATCGTTGACTCAAATATCATCTATATCGGATTATGGAAAAATAATTTGCCACATGTCAACTACACAATCTGATTATTTTCAAAAATGAATATTGAAACCTTCCTCCAAACTAGACCCCTACAGAGCTCGAGGCCATCTCGATCTAGCTTGCCCACCCACTTGCCTAACAATGATTTTGTCATCCAACTATGATATGATCATCATTGGGGTGGCTAATTTTGCATTACAGAAGTTCACTTTCATAGAATTCATGCAGTCTATCACTGTGACCGAATGAGACGATCAGATCTCGTGATATATTATCATAAAAATACGCAAGAATTAATATAGGACGGCCTGAAACAAGTGGGGGTAACCGCGCCGTGTCTTTTCATGCGGCTACAGCTGCACCCACCAACCTCGTGCGTGTGCGTCTTCGCTCCACGTCAGCCGTCTGACTAGACGTCTGATTGATGACGTGGACGGGCGCTGGCCGTGGTTCGTCGTGGAGAGTTGGGATACTTTGAAGTATCTCACAGGGCCATGTTTACCCAATGTATGATGAGGCCTTGGTTTCACCTCGGCCAAGGAAGATTGAACGCTTGCTCAAGATATTTGAACTGGACCCCTCAAGAGGAAAACAATCGTTGAGATTGATGATGAAAGAAAAGGTGGTCAATGGAACATATCAGAACCTACGAGTTGACGTTAAGAATGGACTATGATAAAAACGTGTCCAACGCCCCTCGTCAATAAATCTAAGTCCAATATTTCTTGAAAATACATAAAGAGTAGCTCTTTGTAGACAAATATAATGATTAAAACCATAAATTTATTAAAAATTATGATCCCTTGTTGGTTGATAGAGTTGGCAAATTATTCCCATGTCAACTTACCTTCTCGTTCAGCTCTCTAAGTTTTATGTTTATATAAAAAAAATGAACATAGTAACTGTTGGGCATAATCACAATTCTATTGAAATTTATATTATGGTCGAAAAAGAAAAAGTAAGTGAAAGATATGATTGTTTTAAGAAATGATATCCTGTATAATTATAAAAATGTTGGTATGCTGGGATAATAGGTTTTCATGATCTGACACTCTTTTAACAATATTATCTCTAAAAGTATAAAAAATATTGATAATAAATTGAGTGCTTCAAATAAAGATGACTTTTATAAACCTATGCAAATAAGGACGCTCATAGTAAATGGCTCCTCATGATATCTTAGTTACATGAATCAAAATTAGTAAATTTGACATATTAATTGATGAACATGAGGGCTTTAAATAGAGATGTTTCATAATGTTTGGCAGACCGAACACCATCTCACCAATGGGGGCAGAAGACCAGTTCAAATATATTCCTTGTCTTGGGACATACATGTTTATCTTCAAAAGATGGCAATGGAAATGACTTATGCTGATTATTTGAACACTGCTTTGTTGAAGTTTAAGTTCCAAGACAAAGGAATGATCAACACGCCATATTATTATTATTTTTTCTTGCGGGGAAAACAAGTTATCCCTCAAGAGTTTTGTTGTTATCCCATTTAGTCACACATGGGATTTACTACCATGGTAGCAAAAGGAAAATTTCTAAACTACCAAGTGATCATCCTTTGGCTACTCTAGAATTAGCAGTCTACATCTTGGCTGATTCCAAAGACTTTCAGCCTTTAATGTTAAATAAAAATAAATATTGATATTAAAATAAAGGATTAAAAAATATGTAATATGCGTCATACTTTAGTATATAGGTATAATTTAGTAATTAATTGTATGAATGGGTGAGACCAATTCTAAACCTTGATAATATCTCATGTCAGATTCCATAATTTAGATTTAGATGGGAATAAAGATATTACAATGTTTTTTGGGATATCTAGTATTTGAATAAACTAAAAAAAATATCATATTTTATATGAATCCTACATGATTATTTGAAAAATCATATAATTCATCTCCCCAATCAAAGAAAAATAATTTAGAAGAATCTGAATTAATTGAAAAGATGGGTAATTAAAGAGTAGTGTAAAAAAAATTCGGCTTGTTATGATTTTATGCCTGTTCAGATCAAACTAAGTTGAAAATATAAGCGAATCAGTCATGTCTTTGGGGATATGGGACATAAAAAACATCTATTTTTATCTGCTTTTATGTTATGTGCAATCATTTTATATCCTTTTTTATATTTTAGGAAAATTTCCCAAATAAAATTGTTTCTCCATTGGCTATGAGCCATTGACATTGTTATCACATATGGATGTGTGATTTCAAAAAAAAATACTGACATTGAAGGAAAATAGAAATTAATATCACCATGAAACTGCAAGATGATAGGGGAAGACAATGTTGTATAAATTAGAGGTGCCATGGAAGAAAATATGGTGATATGTTTCAAATAAAAAATATCAGATAGGCATAGTTTCATGAAACATCATGATTCCACTCACAATTTCAAATCGTCCATATACCCCAATATATTTTTCAAACCTTTAGATCGATTATATGAGAGGCGTATCAAAAACAGCCCAGTTTTACTCACGTTACTGCATTTATACACCACTACATGACTGTCATAACCGTAGACATGAAGAAATGCGAGATGTATCAAAATTGCCAGACAGGTCACTTGTTTATACAATGTGAGGAAAACGCCAATCGCACCGCCAACGAAGGAAAGAGGAACGCAATACCACAAGGGGAATTTTCTCTCTCTTCATTGATGCCTGCAAATGACCGCAACCCGTGCATTGTTAGCTCTGCTATAAGCGGTTCCCTTAGATGAACGGTTAGAGGCCCATACCGAAAGTGTGATACTTGGTCGTCCCTGGAGGAATAGGACATGATCTACGGAATAATAATTAATAAAAAATACATTGGAGACAATGCCACTGGATAGATATATGACTTCTATATCTCACCCCTTTCTTTCTCCCTAGAAAAAGAGGGAGATGGGTTCCAATTATCAACCCAGAAAATAATCAGTGCGAGCAAAGAAAATCGCAAATATGATCGACATAGGAAGTAACTGGTGGCGAAATATGTTTTATTTGTGCTCCACCAAAATAGCAAACATGCAACAGAGCGGATTATATAAATGAATGAATCCTCTCTCTCTCTCTCTCTCTCTCTCTCTCTCTCTCTCTCTATCTCTCTCCTTAAAGAAAAGAGAGGTGGGCCCAATTATCACCTGGAAAACTAGTAAATGTAGGCGAGTAAGCTTTTGGTGATGAATAATGTTTTAGTCGTACTTCATCAACATACTTTGACTAAATCATTCTTCACAAATTGAAAAGCCACAGATAGGATGGCGATGTGAAGCGTATCCTGTCTTCACGAAAGAAAGGGAATAGCAGAAGGGCTTTATATCTTTCACGGTAGATTATGAAGCATGGGTGAGGTACAGCCGTGCCCCTCTGCACACCCCCCACCCCCCCCACCCCCCACCGGCGTTCTTCCTATAAATATCCCTTACAGAATCCCCTCTCTTTCCCACCCCTACGCAAGGATCACACGCTTGGGGCCTCATCATTCTCCTCTTCTGTCTTATAACCTCATACAGTCGCACCTCTTGGGTCCTTTCTTCTCTCTGGTCTCATCTCCCTCTCCTTCTCTTGCCATACCCATCTCTGCAGGTAGCTCAGCTGCAGAGGCGTTCAATTGTCCTTCACTCTGCACTAGAGCCAGCATGCCGGAAGCTCCCGAGGATCAGTTTCCTCCGGCGGCGGTTGCGGCCGCAGGGGACGACATACCGAGCTCACATAAGACAGCCCTCCAGTTTATAGAGGACGTCACGGACAACGCCGATCAGGTCCAGCGCCGCGTGCTGTCCGAGATCCTCGAGCAGAACTCGGACGCCGAGTACCTCCGCCGCCACGGCCTTGTGGAATCGCGAGGAGCCGACGCCTTCCGGCGACTCATCCCCGTCGTCACCTACGAGGATCTGGAGCAAGACATCCAACGCATCGCCCAGGGAGACACCTCCCCGATCCTCTGCTGTCGCCCCATCTCGGAGTTCCTCACCAGGTGCTCCCACGTGATAGATGCCTTACAGCCATTGCCGGCGAACTGAGCCTCTAACCGAGTTCTGTTTGACTGTACCGTGCGAGCAGCTCGGGCACATCAGGCGGGGAGAGGAAGCTGATGCCGACAATACAGGACGAGCTGGATCGGCGGTCGCTGCTGTACAGCCTCCTGATGCCGGTGATGAATCGGTTCGTGCCGGGGCTCGACAAGGGAAAGGGAATGTACTTTCTGTTCGTGAAGTCGGAGGCGAGAACACCTGGGGGCCTGGTGGCCCGCCCTGTCCTCACAAGCTACTACAAGAGCCGGCACTTCATCGACCGCAAGCACGACCCTTTCAACGTGTACACGAGCCCCAACGAGGCTATCCTCTCCACGGACTCCTTTCAGAGTATGTACGCTCAGCTGCTCTGCGGCCTCGCCCAGCGCGAGGAGGTGCTCCGCGCCGGCGCCGTCTTCGCCTCTGGCTTCATCCGCGCCATCCGCTTCCTCGAGAAGCATTGGCAGGCCCTCTGCCGCGACATCCGCAATGGCTCCGCCGACGCGAGCGTCGTCACCGACGCCTCGGTGAGGGCCGCGGTGGCGGGGGTGCTCCGGCGACCAGATCCCGAGCTTGCCGCCATCGTGGAGGGCGAGTGCGGGAGGGGTTCCTGGGAGGGGATTCTAACCCGGCTGTGGCCCAACACCAAGTATATCGACGTGATCGTGACGGGCACCATGGCGCAGTACATACCGACCCTGGATTATTACAGCGGATCCCTACCGCTCGCCTGCACCATGTACGCCTCCTCCGAGTGCTACTTCGGCCTCAACCTCGAGCCCATGTGCAAGCCCAGCGAGGTCTCCTACACCCTCATCCCCACCATGGCTTACTTCGAGTTTCTTCCGGTCCACCGCAGCAATGGTGGAGCCGCTGCCGACAAGCCCGACCTCAGAGAGCTCGTCGAGCTCGTCGACGTCGAGCTCGGCAAGGAGTACGAGCTCGTCATCACTACTTATGCAGGTGGTCGTCGATAAAATAATTTTATCGAGTTAGAAAAATTAGTTTGCTGCATTTTCATTTTGCCAAATTAGAAGGTTGATTTAGTTTGCCATCTGATTCTTTTTTATTTTTTTCCAGGGCTCTATCGGTACCGGGTGGGGGACGTCCTGCGGGTGGTGGGCTTCAAGAACAAAGCACCCCGCTTCAGCTTCGTGTGCCGGAAGAACGTGGCGCTGAGCATCGATTCGGACAAGACGGACGAGATGGAGCTCCACAGGGCGGTGGAGGAGGCAGTGGGGCAGCTCGAGCCCTTCGGCGCCTCCCTGGTGGAGTACACCAGCTACGCCGATACTAGCACAATCCCTGGCCACTACGTGCTCTACTGGGAGCTACAGCAGGGGGCGACGCCGGTGCCGCCCTCCATCTTCGAGGATTGCTGCCTGGCAGTGGAGGAGGCCCTCAACAGCGTCTACCGGCAGGGGCGAACGGCGGACAAGTCCATAGGGCCGCTGGAGCTGCGGCTGGTGGAGGAGGGCACGTTCGATAAGCTGATGGACTTCGCCATCAGCCGCGGGGCCTCCATCAACCAGTACAAGGCGCCTCGCTGCGTCAAGTTCCCGCCCATCGTGGAGCTCTTGAACTCCCGTGTCCGGTGCAGCTACTTCAGCCCCAAGTGCCCCAAGTGGGTCCCGGGCCACAAGCAGTGGATCTCCATCAAGAACAGCTCGGATTAAACCACCCGCCATAGCTCACGTGGGTTCTCTTCCTTCATCGGACCTGTAAGGTTACCAACGAGGGCCATCTTCTTCCCCCGCTTTTTCTTCGTCTTTTGGTTTTAAGGTTTTACTCAAGAGTCGCAGGCAGGGGTTTCGTTTTCACAATGTACAGGTATAGCTATGGCCACGAGGGAGAAGGGGATAGTCTCCTCCTCTTTCCTCTTCTCTTCTCTTCTCTTCTCTTCTCTCCTCTCCTCTTCTACTCGCTTCTCTTATTATGGGGTTTCTCCTTTGAAGAGTCTTCCTCTCGGTTTGAGTTGTCACCTTATCACACTTCCCCATCGCTCCAGCGAAGCTGCTCCGCTTCTCCCACCTCCCCCCCCCCCACCCCCTCTTCCGGGGAAAGAAAACCTCGTGGATTTTTCCCCAAACGTCATCTTTGAGAAGAGGAGTCCACTTCCAGCTCTCACGCCTTCGGCGGGCTGGCAGCAGCTGTCAAGCGGAGCCCGTCGACCTTATCAAAAGATCTCAGACTCACCTCCTCTCACTCCCCAAATACGTAGCCAGAGATCCCGCCTGGACTCTAAGCAATTTCCACGACACAATCCGCGGAACGAGAGAGAGAGAGAGAGAGAGAGGCAGCTTCTCTCTTCCCCACCAAGCTCACCAATTGTGCCTTCAATGACGGCCAACGACCAGAGTTGTTACACAATAAGAACCCGAGTGATAGAAGTAGCATCCACTTGCACGTGGCCATATCCTTATAGAAAGAATGAGATAGAGAGAGAAAGCCTCTCCCTCGCCCCCACCTTCTCGACAGGATCCGCATAAGGAGCACTGCTGGTTGGAAGCAATGAAAGAACCCGCCTCTCTCTCTCTCTCTTCCCTCGGAGGTCCAGACCAGAGACCAAGTATGCTATAAACTATGGAACGGGAGGCGCGACGGGAGTTGAAGCGTCGCAGTTGCGGCATTGAATGCAGCGCGCCAGGAAGCAAGCTGGCAATAGCTTCCCCACGTGGGCCCCAGATCCACTCAGTCAAGGGAGATCCCAAAGAGGGCACATCGCTGGAGACCCAATCGCTGCCGTCCGATCAGCAGCGGGCCTCCCGGGTAGGAAGATACTGGGGCCGGGTTGTGGGGCCCCAAAGTATGAGTCGCGATTGTTGACGTTGACCCGGTACGAGTTGACGTGGCAGTCCATCGAAGCTTCCTTTTTAGGCCCCGCGTACAGCGCGCATTGCACTCGTACGAAGGGGACACGGCGGCCCGCGTGCGCCGGCGGGGACCTCTCCGGCCATTAATCGCCGCCGCTCCGCGTCATGTGGCCGTCGCTTTCCCCTTACCCCCCACCGCCGCTGTCGTCTTCTTCTCCTTCTCCTCCTCCTTCTCCTCCTCCTTCTCCTCCTCCTTCTCCTCCTCCTTCTTCCTCTTCCTCCGACGGAACCTTACAGCGCCTGCCCGCCATTGATGACGAGAGGGCCACCGCCAGACACGTCCTCGTGGGACACCCTATGCACCGCCAAGCAGCAGGCCCCGCCGGACGTGGAACCTCCCCTCCGGGGGAGGAGGAGGCCCCGCCGGCGGCCGTGGCGGAAGAAGGGGAAGCGCCCCTCCGTGGGGACGAGGAGGCGCCGCGGCCGGCGATGGAGGGGGCGGTGGCGGAGGAAGAGGAAGTTTCCCTCGGTGGGGAGGGTTTTCACCGCAGAGAGAGTTGCAGACTACGGAGAGAAGAGGGGAGAGAGGACGCTTCTGGAGGAGGACGAGAACGGGGAGGCAATGGACGCATATTTCCTTGGGAAATGGAATAATGGGCCTATGTTTCTGGGCTTCTTTACGTAGTATTTGCCTTAGGACTCTCAGCCATTAGTGAAGTTGGGAGATGGGCCTCCTGTTTACTGATGTAGGCTTAATCTGATCCTTATTGGGCCCTCTGCCTACCCTCTCGGTAAACTATCCTCTCTCTCTCTTCTCTCTCTCTCTCTCCCTCCCTCCCTCTCTCTATCTCTCTCTCTCTCTCCCTCCCTTTCTCTGTCTCTCTCTCTCCCTCTCTCTATATCTCTCTCTCCCCCTCTCTCTATCTCTCTCTCCCTCCCTCTCGCTATCTCTCTCTCTCCCTTTCTGTATCTCTATCTCCCCCTCTCTCCGTCTCTCTCTCTCTCTCTCTCTCTCTCTCTCTCTCTCTCTCTCTCTCTCTCTCTCTCTCCCCTCTCTCCCTCTCTCCCTCTCTCCCTCTCTCCCTCTCTCCCTCTCCATCTCTCTCTCCCCCCCTCTCCCTCTCCTCTCTCTCTCTCTCTCTCTCTCTATCTCTCTCTATCTCTCTCTATCTCTCTCTCCATCTCTCTATCTCTCTCTTCCTTTTTCTCTCTGTCTCTCTCTCCCTCCCTCTGTCTCTCTCTTCCTCCATCTCTCTATCTATCTCTCACTCCTCTGTCTGTCTGTCTCTCTCTCTCTCTCCCTCCCTCTGTCTCTCTCTTCCTCCCTCTCTCTATCTATCTCTCACTCCTCTGTCTGTCTCTCTCTCTCTCTCTCTCCCTCCCTCTGTCTCTCTCTTCCTCCCTCTCTCTATCTATCTCTCACTCCTCTGTCTGTCTCTCTCTCTCTCTCTCTCTCCCTCCCTCTGTCTCTCTCTTCCTCTCTCTCTCTATCTATCTCTCACTCCTCTGTCTGTCTCTCTCTCTCTCTCTCTCTCCCTCCCTCTGTCTCTCTCTTCCTCCCTCTCTCTATCTATCTCTCACTCCTCTGTCTGTCTGTCTCTCTCTCTCTCTCTCTCTCAGACTGGTGAATACAGGCCGGGGAATCATCAAGCATGAAGCCCATTGTTCAATTGCACCTAATTTCTGGAAAAATTAAACCAACTAATTCCGGGAAAGCGGGCTCTCCTGGAGGGAAGGGGCATCAAAGGAGTAGAGGTGATTACAGCTGAGAGAGAAAGAGAGAGCAACAGAGAGAGAGAGAGAGAGAGAGGATAGTTTAACCGACGGCTCCACTGCTCCATCGTACTTCGTTCATCGCCCTTTGCTCCATGTGAGGGAGGGGAGGTGAGGAGACCGACGTTTCATGTGAGAGACTCGAAGGGACGGATCTTCAATGGCTAACCATAGAGAGAGAGAGAGAGAGAGGCGGAGCCTCAGACTGTCAGTCGAATTCCGGGTTGTGTTCAGAGAAAGAGGACGTATGCCGCAGACGCGAGGACAAAAAATGACGACGACGAGACCCTCACTCTTTATAGTTCTCTCTCCTCTCCACAGCTATTTACATTCTCTCTCCACAGCTCTCTCTTACATTCTCTCTCTACAGATCCCTCTCTCTCTCTCTCTCTCTCTCTAAACCTCCCTCCCCCCGTTGAGCCTCGTTAGCTCCACCGTGAGCGTTTTAGAGAGAGAAGCCGGAGGTCCGCCGTCCGTGGCAGCAGCCGGTCACGTTTCCTTCCCGCGGCGACCTTGCCGAGGCCGCATGCGACAAACCTAGCGCCGGCGCCCCAGTAAATTCCTCCCACTAGTGGGGGCAAATGCGTCCACCCACATTCTACTTACCGAAAATACTCTTCTTATGATTTTCTCCGGCTTTTGATGGATATTTACAATCACCTGGATATTTCCCAAGTATCTAAAGTCAACGGAAGATCTAAGCCGTGCGGATGGCAAAATAGTCAACCCTCGTGTTTTAGAGATTATCATTGAACTAGAATCTTAACTGCTTCACCTGACGTGGGGTTGACTTTTATGAGATAGGCATGGACTTTCTATAGTACAATTATTTCCTAGAGACAATTATCGATATTTCGTGGACAATTCAGGATATAATCGAGGGTCAGAGGAGAAGAGGTAGAACAGTAATTTCCTCCCCCCCTATAGACTGAGCTCCCCATCCTTCGCCACTGGTCAGTCGGGGTGGAGGCTTCTATTTTAGGAGCTTACAACTCTCTCTCTCTCTCTCTTCCTCTCCCCCCCTCTCTCTCTCCTCCTCCACCCGATACGGGCCCACCATCAACCCCCCCCCCCCTCTATCTCTTCCTCTCCCCTCTCCACCCGATACGGGCCCACATCAACCCCCTCCGAGTCCTCCTTAACCCCGCCTCCCTCTCTCTCTCTCTCTCTCACCGCCCTGCTCTATTTCTCTCTCTCTCGTGCGTACCGGGACTAGCAAGCAGGGGCGTCCGCCATGGCGGAGCGGCGGATGGGGATCCTCCAAGGCCCCGCTGCAGTACCGAGCATCCTCTTCTCGGCCGCCGTGATCCTCCTGGCGGCGATGGCGGCGGCGGCAGGTTGCACCGCCGCGGCGGCGCCGGCGACGATCCACGAGCTTCTCCGGGAGCACGGGCTGCCGGCGGGGCTGCTGCCGAAGATGGTGCGCTCCTTCTCGCTGAACCGGCGGACGGGGCTGCTGGTGGCGCGGCTGGACAGGCCCTGCTACGCGCGGTGGCGCGACAACCCCGTCTTCTTCGACCGCCTGGTGGCGGGGAACCTGAGCTACGGCGAGCTGAAGGGCGTGGTGGGCCTCTCGCAGGAGGAGCTCTTCCTCTGGCTCCCCGTCAGAGGTGTCGTCGTCTCCGATCCCTCCTCCGGCGTGCTCCTCCTTGACATCGGCGTCGCCCACAAGCAGCTCTCTCTCTCTCTCTTCGAGGACCCGCCGGATTGCCACCCCGCCGGAGAAGCGGAATGGCCGCCGTCAGGTCAGGAAACGCAAAGACTCTCTCTCTCTCTCTCTCTCTCTCTAACACGCACACACAGCCGCCAGTGAGAACTCATGGGTCGCCATAATTTCCGCCATTTTTGGGTTTTGGGTTGGATGATCAGATCAAAGATCACATTGGATCATAAAACATAAAAACCATATGCATGCGAAGTGCAGGCGAATTCCGGCGAATTTTCTCTCTCCGGATGAATCTCTCGGGCAATTCAGTTCTCAGAAATATAGTTAACGAGGCTAAGTATATGAATTGAATAGGTCCTAAGAGGAATGGCGCAAGGATTTCATCAGGCTGCTCGTCTCCTTCTTGCAGGGATTCAACGGAAGAGGGGACGGAAGGAGGGGAAGGGCTGGGACGTCCAGAGGTAGAAGACGATGGGTTCGGAGAAGCAGCACTGAATAAACGTAGTAGTTCCAGTGGCGCCGCGGCAGACCCCTCAGTGAAGCCCTAACGTAGATAGTAACCCCTCCCCCCCTCTCTTGTTCCCAGTGTTTAGAGCCAGTTAACTGTTTTCCTCTCTCTCTCTCTCTCTCTGTCTCTCTCTAAGGTGTGTACCAATGGTAACGCCTCTGATGAGCGATGAGCACCGCCCAACTCCTTTTAGCCTGTTGCGGAGGAAAACGCCAAGTGAAAGGTAGGAGTAGCCTTGAAAACAGGGGAAAGGGAGGGAAACTTTTCAACGTGTATGGGACTGGGCCCGGATGTAGCCACGCGGCAGGTGAACGGGCTCCCACGTGACCAGAAAAGGGTGGCGGGCCCGGCCCAAAAAAAAATATATTTTTCAATATTTCCGTTGACTCAATATACACCACAAGATTAGGAGGAATAAAAGCAACAAAACCACAGACCCAGAAGAAATCGCGCGCAAAACTATCAATCTATGACACTTAATCATGGTGGGCGTCATTCATTTCACTAATTCAGATCGAGATCTATCAGAAAGTTGTCTCCTTTCACAGGAATTGGAGCAAAAAAAGCTTCAAGACGTTGACGACATACAGAACAGCAATCGATAGAACACATGCACTGCATGCGTATGAGCAGAAGAGCAGCACAGAGAGAATCTCTAACCAGCGGCGTCACACGAGGAGGCAGCCAGCTCGATTCAATCCCTCCAGCAGCAGGGATTCTGCAGCCTTTGCTTCCGATCGTGATGGCCTGCACTGATGAGCAGACAAAAATAGCAATGATTCAGCGTTTTCCATGGAAAATCGTGTGATCCAGATGGTGATACCCGCCGGAATTCTTCGATAAGCTGCGCGTCTGATCTGCCCAAAATAGAAATAATTCGCTGATATTTCAGCATCTTCAATCGCGGGAACCCTGGAAGAAGATGTCTCCGCAGGAACCCGAGCAGCGGTAGAGGTCGCCCAGGTCGAGCTCCGATTCCCACAGGAACTCCTTCAACCTCGACGCCTTCTCTAGGACCTGCCGCGTGATTCTCGGAGCACTGTAACCGGAGATGTCCAGGCTCTCGAGGTCCTTCAGCTCATCGAGGAACAGGAGGAGGACGGGTTGGGACATCTTGCAGTCCCTGAGCCTGAGCTTCCTGAGATTCGGGAGCGCGTCGCAGATCGCGGCGGCCATGTTCTCGCTCACGCGCTCGGCGAAGACTTCGAGCTCGGTGAAGGTGGCGCGGCATCTGGTCAGGATCTCGAGCACCTCCTCGCAGATGACGGCCTCATTCACCGCCATCCCCTGCAGATGCCGGAGCTTGTCGATCGCCTGGAGAAACTGGTCGGTCGGCTCTTCGTCGTTTCCGAGATGGAAGTAGCGCAGACGAGGGCACCTGGATGTCCAGGAAAACGCACCTGGTCAGAGCTCGCCATTGTTCCAGCTCGGCGAGCAAGCTTGCCACAGATTCAACAGATTCCCATTCCGAATCAGAAAGCAATCGAGATCGACAGGAATACGGGAGGGGGGTGAGGGAAACCCTAGGAAGGTTTACCTTTCGGCGACAAAGAGGAGGTCGATCTCGTCGGCGAAGTCGGGGAAGAAGACGCTGTCGACCGTGCCGCCGGCCCTGGCGATGGAGAAACGCAGGAGGTCCCTGAAATCGACGGAGAGAACCCTGCGGAAGCGGAGGCGGCGGGAGATGAGCTCCCACCGGCGGAAGTCGAGCTCCCGCCAGCAGAGCGGATCCCCTGCGGCGTCGCGCCAGGCGGTGCAGGTGAAGGAGACTCCGGCGATGAGGTCCTCCATCTCGATCTTCTCGAAGATGGAGACCAGAAGGTCCCGGCCGAGGTCCTCCCACCGCGGCCGCCGCCCCGCCAGCGCCATTTACGACACCTGCGCGCAGCTGCCGGCGGCGACACGAAAGGACCTCCTTCAGATGAGGGGGCGCTAATATACGCCCCAGACCAAAAGCCCACCCCGCGAAATTAGACCCTTTTTCTGAGTTTTTTTCTTCCACTTGGCTACCCAGCACACGGTGGAGGACACGCCTCCTACGGCTGTTCTCTCTCTCTCTCTCTCTCTAAGAATGTCGTCATTCCTACCTTACCAAGGACGCCCATCTCTCTCTCTATCTCTAAGAATGTCGTCATTCGTACCATACTGCACCCATCTCTCTCCCTCTTAAGTTGAACTCTTGCCCGGTCGTTATCCGAAATGCCCTCAAAGCTCCTATAATGTCCTCACACTTACCATCTCTCTCTTTCTCTCTAAATCAGAAGACTTCGGATTGGTCCATGTCTGGGCTGGCCTTAGTTTCCCCAAATGTCGTCATCCGCACCATGATAAGCTAACTCCCTCCTCTCTCACTCTATGACCGAACACTGGACAAGGTGTCATATCCTCCACTCTATTCTACTCTCTCTCTCTGAGGTCGGCTCCAACGATCTAATAATTCTTAACAAAACTTTATTACACATCTCCCTCTCTCTCTCTCTCTCTCTCTCTCTCTCTCTCTCTCTCTCTCTAAAAAGGATACAGGTAGCCACCCGAACACCGCCGCCGCCGCCTTCACCGGATGACCAACAGGATCGGAGAGAGAGAGAGGAGGATGGGCCCCTACTTAGAAGTAATCGGGCCCCTGGAAGTGCTCGAGATCGGGGTGGGTCCCGCCGCCGGGCCGCCGCGGGGGCCTACCATGAACCAATCCCAAGTAAGACACCCAAAAGCCCACTTCGAAGCCGGGCCCGGCCCCCATAAAAAGCCCAGCAAAAGCAGGAGCCCCCTAATCATATAAATATATTATTAATTATATGCGTATACTTGGATACCTGACGAAGCGACCGGGCTCGAAGCCAGGGACGTCGGGAGGGCCAATGGGGTCGTACCGCGCGCCAGGTGGGATTCCCCTGTTCACCGACCAATGGATGTCAGCCACGTGTCCCAAAAAAAAATTCAAACCATTTCTGCTCCAGAGCCTACGCTAGCCCTCCAGGGTATCCAAGATCCGGGCGATCTACTCGGCCGAAACGGGGGTCATGAGGCCCTGCAACCAAAAAAAAAAAAAGAAAAGGGAGAAAATTAACTTTATGAGAAAGAAAATAATAATAATTTGGCCAGAAAATCACGATCTTGGGAGTGGGCATACCCACGAGCATCGATCCGTCCCCAGGCCGCCCCCTGGATGCCAAACGAAGAGCAGAGAGATGTCAAATGGGGGTTTTCAGAGTGGGGCCGAAGAAGAGGATGGGAGTTAGCGGCCGTTGACCTCTGGGGGATGAAGCCGGCGCCGGGCCCGGGGTGGAGATCGTCAAACCCGGAATAAGGAATAACAGGGGGATATACAAGCCTGAAGCAAACAAATAATCGCGAGTCAACCCATCTCCAACTCATCTAGAACACAGCAAACGATGAAGGAGCAGAATCACTGCAGCAAGAAATTGACTTCTAGAGGTTGGGTGGGCCCCGAAACACAGGATCCTCATCCCCAGTTCTTCATAGAAGTCAATGGAGATGATGAGTGCGTATGTGCCCAATGGATTGGAATGACTCACGGGGAATAAGGTTGGGTCCCGATGTGGGATTCAGCATCTGGCGGAGAAGGGACATGCCCTGGTACCTCCCCCCTGCAGAAGTCAATGAGCAAGAAGTCAATGCAGAACTTGAAGGATGAACAGGATAGTGAAAGTTGTGCTCTCTGTGCGAGATTCCACTCTCGATTCTGACATTGACTTTCCTCTCCTCATTGGGATACGTTGACCTGCAGCTCAAATGACTGATAACACCAGCAAACACCGGAGTTCTGATGAAGGAGCAAGAAAAAGAGCGGCAACCAACCAAAAAAAAAAAAAAAAAGAGTGACCAAGGAGGGAGGTCTTCATTCCTGGCTGCCATGCTGCCAGTTGTAGTCCACAAGATCAGATTGCTTAATACCAACGATACCAGTGAAGAGGCCAGTCCTCACAACTGATTGGCGGATCATCTTGAGTCTCAGCTTGGTGAGCTTGAGAATGATAAACCGGAACTGATAACAAACCACATTGAAATACTCAAAGCTCAGATGATTTGGAGAAGTTTTCAGCAAAAGATGGCCTGATATTGCCCTCGCAATTCTAGCGCGTTGACTTCTTCCCTGAAGTCGGGTGAAATCGGAAGTGATTCGATTGGTCTTTGCTGGTGGGTTCTGAGTTTCAAAACTGCAGATAACTTGCCTCAGCATTGAAAAGCTCTCTACCATTATGCTGATTTCAGCCAGCTGAGGAACGGCCCGGTGTGAAGGGTGTTCACAAAATAAATAGGCAATCGATGAAAAACTGCAAGCGATTTTTTCCAAGAAATTTAGATCATCTCACAATCATTATCGAATCTTTCAAGATCGATTAGTAATGGGGCCGCTTGGGGAGCTGACCGCCACGGTGAATAAATAGTCGGTTCTGCACGACAATACCTAAGGTGTTCATACTGCGTCTTGTTAAGGTTCCTAAAATTTTGATTATCTATCAGAGGAGAGAAGACCGAAGTCAGACGCCCGCCTACGCATGATGTTCTTCGTGCAGAATAAATTTCAGCCACGAACGAGTTCAGGCGCTCCGGGAAAATGGCGTCCAGAAAAGATGCGGAACAAGGAAATTGCAGCGAAACCGAGAGATATATCGACTAAATACAGTAAGAAGGGATGTCTACAGGGCTAACCTCTCTGTGGAAGAAGAACGGCCGACCTCCGCTGGTAGCTCGAGCTCAGCCAAGACATTCTTGTTGAAACTATCTACCAGGCGCTTGAAATTCTGATAAAATCTTTCGTAATTTCCCGTCCTCGCGCTATCTTCCGGAACATAATCCTTTACACTAGAAAACCAAGAGAAAGGGTCAGCCCTAGTACGAGGTAAAAATCTAGACCAGGAGCTAGGAAGGAGCGCGCCTAATGGAAGAACAACGTCCCGAGAATAATCGTCATACGAATAAGGGTTGAGATCCACTACTTGATCTGGAGATTGAGCGGCTCCTTCTGCTCCCTGTCCAGGCACAGGGCGTCCACTGCGAGGACATCCCCGACGGGCAGACACTTGACGAGAACCCTCCTCTTTTCCCCCTTCTCGGTCCGCTTCGCGTACACGAAACCGTAGCTATCTTCGAACTCGTTCCACCCCTCAATCCCCACCTCCTCCTCACCTGCGAGAATTTCCAGCGTGGACAATGGCGTAAGCACCTCTGGATCGACGGAAAACAAAGAAAAAACCATCCAGATTCGTAATCGCACCCTCCGGAGGACTCCCAGCCAAGGCAGCTCTTCCGGTGGCGGTGAGGGCGTAGCCTGCGGCCAGGAAGGCGGCGTGCAAGGCGAAGGTCGCCTTGTCGTGGGAGTTGCGAAAGCTCGGTCGCGACGCCCTGATCACCCCCATCACTGACGTCTCCGTCGCCATCTTCTTCCTCTCGATCTCGATCGATCTTGCCTTGCTTCTCCTCCCCTGCTTCTTCACCAAGCTTCACTGCTTCTTCTCCCCGTCCAAACATCTATATCTCCTCAGAAGTCGGCTCAACGTTTCCGCTGCTCCGCAGGTACACTTGCTCCGCTCAAGTGGAAGCGGCTACGTCCGAAACGTGGATACACGTGGCACTTGCTCCCACCCCTGGATGGGCCGAGATATCATGGCCCATTGATGTAGATTGGGTGAGGAAGGTATTACCGTATTACTTTTAAAACAATAATTATTGAGTAATTTGGGTTCTGGTGAAAAATAAATATATTTAAGATAATTAATTTATAATTAAAAATACTCCAGAAGTATTGAAAAAACGTCTTGTCGATAATAACAAGATATAACCTTTTGTAAAAATAAAAAATAAAAAATAAAATAAAATCGAGAAATTGGGCTGAATAAGCTCGGATGTCTCAGACGAAATTTTTTCTGGGCCCGGACTTGTATTTGAAAGAAAAACGGGGCCTATTGATGAAATGCAGGCCCAGAAAAGAAAGTCCAATCGGGCCCATAAAACTCCCCGTACATCGCAGGTTTTATAGTTTTTCCAAAAAGCTATTCTCACAATCGGATTCTCCAAGGGCAGGATAGGGCGGCTAGCTGTTAGACCGCGTCAGAATCTGGACCCAAACGCTGCGGAGGCCGGGACAAGAATCGGATTCCAAGAATGGCCGGCGCCCGGCGGAATCCCACCGTCGAGAGAAGTCAGTCCCTGTTCCCACGTGGGGATTTCTGTGGAAGCGCATGGCTCGGATTCCCCGTGAGGGAGAGATTCTAGGATTTGCTTTCCTGGGAATCTTGGCGGCTCCGCCCCCTGGTCACCCTAATGTAGCAGAAGACGACGGCGAAGACGGTGGCGGCGAGCCCTCCCAGCATCAGCTGCGCAGCCGCGAGGGACACATGGAACCACCTCCTCCTCTTCTCATCCACCCCCGCCGGCGCCGGCGCCGGCACCGCCGCAAGCAGCCGCCCGCTCGCCCGTGCAACTACAACCTGCGCCGCCACCAAGAAGGCCACGCAGACTCCAGCCATGTAGAGATAGATAGATGGATAGATGGATAGAGAGAGAGAGAGAGAAGAGAGAGAGAGAGGAAGTAGTCGATGGAGGAGGGAGAGATGGGGAGGAGGTCTTATAAGGTTGGAGATCCTGTCCTGCAATTGGCAGTGAGGTGGGGAGAGAGAAAGGCGGGTGGGGCTCTGCAATCCTCTGGGGAGACAGCTGAGGCGGTGGAGGTGGGGTTTGGGCTGGCATCTCGAGGATCGAAGGGGAGAGAGCGAGAGCGAGGAGGGCGGTGGGGGGACAGAGTTGACCGACATGTCGAGAAAGGAGGGAGGGAGAGGGAGTTTGAAGGGCTGAGTTGACTGGAATATTCATATATATATACATGTATGTAGAGAGAGAGAGCAGGTGTGATACCTTGGCCTATCTGATGTCGACGGCCGCAAAGCGGGGGCAGACAAGGGGAAGAGAGAGAGAGAGACAGAGACAGTGCTGGCATGGTATCTGGACCCAGCTCATATCGATGACTGGGAAGGGGACAGACAAGGGTCGAGAGAGAGAGATAGATAGATAGGTAGATAGGTAGAGATAGAGAGAGCTGGCGTCGTACCTGGACCCAGCTCATGCGACGGCTGGGAAGGGGGCAGAGAGAGAGAGAGAGCGGGTTTGGGGCAGATCTCGAAGCCCAATATCCAAGTGAACAGGCCCACCTAGGATTTGACACGTCCACATGATTAATAAACAGTACGATTAAAAAATACGATTAAACTCCTAAATATAATTTTCCCCACTAAAAATAATAGCACGTGGAATCATGCCGTTTCCTTCAAAGGGGGTCTACATTTCCCTTACTCCTTAAGTCAACCCCCCTTCCCTTTCTTCCCCTTCCTTCCAATCTTACCTCCTAAGCAAGAGAAAGAGAGAGAGAGAGAGAGAGAGAGAGAGAGGGGGATTCTTTGTTGACCCAGGCTTATTTCGGGCTTTTTTGTCGGGTTCCGGGATACAAATCGCTCATCTGTTAAGAAATAAGTTTAGCCAATGAGGGGAAGCCACGCCGCCTGAAGAACAGGCATTCCGCCTTTTGACCATAATGTCACCTTGCTTGTGGGCCCGACTGGGATGGGCTGCCAGTCATATCAGGCATGTAGAGTCCGGCCCAATGGGGACCACCCGGTTTACACGCACTAAAGGATTCGTATTTGTCCGGTCACCGAGGCGGGGGAGGGGTCCGCCCGGCCTTCAATCGAGGACCGCTGAAAATCGGTGTTGTACCTATGCCGCCGCGGTCGCCGTACCTTCGGAGACGTGTAGAAATGTAAAATTTATAAGAAAATCCCTTCGTTATTAGACGATTTGGTATCTTTCCCAGAAAATATGGTTTTATTTAAGTATTCAATAAATCCTCATACCTTTATCATTGTCGAACCAGACGCAACCGCCGCCGTCATGGTACGTGCTCCCACAAACCTTACAACCGAAACGGTAACCTAACCCTCTCTGGAAGGACACGTGGCGAAGAGTGGGCCAGAGGAGGCAGCTACGCATGTGAGCAGCCTCTGGGATGATTTGAATTTGAAAATAGGTGAGACCATTCTGGCCGTTGGATCGGTGACGAAGAAATACGTGGATGGCTCGGGAAGATCTCGTCACGTGGATCCGCCACAAGAAAACGTGCGCGGGCTGACTCCGCGTCCAAAGGGCGTGAACGTCGTGGGGATTGTGGGGCCCACAGCCAACACCCCCCATCCCCCTGGTCTGGGGCCGTCCAGCGCTGCAGCGGGGTACTCCCCACCCCCGACGGAGATTCTTAACTCGCAGAGCGAGCCTTACGGGGCTCGCCAAGTTGGTCATGCCCGATGCGCGATCGCCGCGGGGAACGGACGGCCGTGATGTCGCTGATCGAGTGTGAAACTACATATTAGCCCTCACTTTTCTCCGTAGATATTCTGCTGGATTTAAATTTCGAATTTATGCTTCTTCTGCCCCTGGATGCTTCTCGTCTGTTGGCAAGTGGGACCCACCGCAACATTCCCCCCTCCGGGGGGAGTAAATTGCAGATCACCCCCCCAGAAAGGGTTCGGTTTCAGAGATTAACCTCGGATGTTAATGACACTACTTACATACCGAAGCTGGGCAGAGGGACCATGGGGGTAATTCCGCGTGGAGTTTGAAGGAGGAGGATTAAGAGGTAAATATCCGTGCAGTACTTATACTCCTCGTAGGAGGAGGGTTTTAGTAGAAAAATTACACAGACATTTTTCGTCAAGGCCCTTCTTCCTCTTCCGTCGCCTTCCTCGCTCTGCGGGAGTCGATTCCTCCCTGGCTTTTTCCGCCCCCCTTCCTCTAGAGAGAGAGTGAGAAAGAAAGAGAGAGGAGCACGCAGGGAGAAGGAGAGAGAGACAGAGCGTCTTCTCTTCTTCTTCTTCTTCATCTCTTTTGTGTCTGCGTCAACAGTCGCGGTCAGCGGTCCTCGTTGAAAACGCGTCTGGCTTAGAGTCGGGATGTACGGCGGTGAGGGGAGTCTGGAATAAGCATTTGGTACGTATATATGGTGATTTAATTAGGGGGAGGCTTGAAGCTCGGAGGGAGGTGCGAGGTTGGAGTATTTATTATTATTACTTTTATATTCGGATCAGAGGGGAAGCCGCGGTTGCGCTTGCTCATCGGGATCTCGATCCGGAGGGGGGGGGCGCAGTGCTCGTGGCGATTTGTTTGACTTGATGCTTGATTTCCCATGCTGTTTGTGGTGGAATTTGGGGAGGATGATCGCTGTCTTATTGTGAATTAGTATGGCACTGGTTCGTTCTGAAGGAAATGACGCTTTACGTTGCTCGGGAGGCTTCCAAGGTTTCTAAGCGTCTATTTGTTTTTGCTTGTTTGCATCTTTCTCTTTCCTTGTTGTCATGAATTTTTTTTGTGTGCCCTTTTTGATCTCGGGCTTCGGTTTTTTATTTTTCGAATTTTTTTGGCGGAGAAGCTATGGAGGAAGATCACGATGGAGTTGTCCGTGGAACTGCAGCTTCTCTCGGAGAAATGGAAGTTCATCCTTGCAGGGCTCATATTCCAGGTGCCTTAACTTCTCTCTATTGGTTTGGATACGCGTCACAGGTTGGGAGGAGTAGATTTGGCTTTGGACGATTGGGTTTTTACGATGGTGGATCTTTTATAGAGATGCCTGGCTTGGCTTCATTTCTCCGAATATCTCCTGGTGACCTGATGAAATGCCTTTCCAATTCTTTTCTTATTTTTTTGGCCATGATTGCTGGCGATGATTTACGGCTCATTTCTTTTCGTTAATGTGCTTAAGGTTCATGGTGGCCATCTTATAGTTGAAACGGTGGACTAACTTGTAGTCTCGCCTTTTCAGTCTTTAAAGTTTGTGCCCGGAAAACGGAAGCGAGTTGGATTCTTTTTGGCTCACTGGAATAAGAATGACCTGTTTTGAACATTTTTCTGTCGCGACGTGTTGTAGGAATGTATAGCTTGGTTTCTGTCCTCTAAATTCTGAATTACATGGAATTCAAATAGTTTTTAGGTGGAAGAAACCTGTTACCATACCCAACGGGAAAAAAGAAATCTGTAAAATCTCGGTGAACTTGATAGGATGATTTGAAAATAAAATCACCTAATATGACGCCACAAATGCTAATTTTGTATGCTTTTTTAAATATTTTATTAAACAATAATATGCTGCAACAGACTTTATTTTTAGATTTGTATATTAACATGTAATGGAATGAAGTAGAGGTAAGGGGTCACATGTTTACAGAATTTTGGGGAATTGGAGAAACTCAGATGACGTTAGGCTTTCATGTATCCTTCATCTCCCGTGTCCAAGTTCTATTGAGTTTTTCTTTGTTTCAGATTTCGATGATCTTATTCAGTGGGTTTCATGGTTTATCTTTTCTGCATTAGTGGTTGGATCTTCTTAGTTACTTCCACAGCCATCATTTTCAATAAAGGGCACCTTTCTTCATTCTATGTTGCAGTTCTCGCTATTAAGTTTCTAGATGCGTGGTACTGTCCCTAATTGTGCTTCTATGGGTCTCATAAGCATTTAGTGTTCGCATTGGTGAATCTTTACAGGTTTTGTCATAATGATATGCTCATGACTTGTAAACTACATCTGGAAGTAATATCTATCTGTGTGAAAACTTGCAGTATCTTCATGGTTTAGCTGCTCGAGGAGTTCACTACCTTCACCGTCCTGGTCCTATACTTCAAGATGTTGGATTCGCCATTCTACCAGTATGCACAACTCTTACTCTCAGTTTCCCGGCTGCATTTCTATATGCTTTTGTGGGTCAATTCATTAAATTAATTTTTGAGCTTCTTGCTGATTTGAGTGGTTCGTTTGATTTTATTTCAGGAACTTGGAAAAGATAGAGGCTACATTAGTGAGAGCCTTTTCAGCTTTGTGTTTTTTTCTTTTTTTCTGGTAATATGACCTTCTCTTGTTTCCCTTTACAGATGCATTATCTTACCATTTTTTTCCTTTCTAAATAGATTGAAAATAAATGCTGATTTACACTAACCGGCATTATGGCAAAAGCTTCGGACTTCCAGGCTACATGTCTTATAAGAACTTTAAGAGTTATTTTAAACTTCCGTCTTCTGTAAATGGAAAATTATGTGGTACTGAAAAAAGTATGTAGATGAATTTATGTCAGCTTGGAATTTGATAGAAGTGACTGAATGCTGAGAAATCTTGGTTTTAATTTGATTTTCCTTTTTCTAAAATGTCAGATGACTTGAAAAACTATCCTGCCACTATCACCCCAAAAGAAATTTATGAGGTGTCCCAGAACAGCAGTGAGATGAAATCATATTTTTACTTGAACCTATCTCTTCTTAGAGTCTGTTTTCTTCATTCTATCATAATTTAAGTTCATTCGGAAGGAAAACGTCGGAAGAAAATTGATTTTCTTCTGATGGCAATGTGTTCATGCTTAGTGAAGTTAAAGACAGAAGTACAAGTAGACTGTTGTGAATTCAACGTCAGTTGGATACCCAAGTAAAGAGTAAACTGTAATCTTTGAATAATAATAATGCGTTTAACTGATTTCAAGAATAACATATGCCAGTGAATTCTGCGTTGTTATCTTGTAGATTTTAGTATTTGATTGACAATTTAAAGATTCCGTGGAAGCCAAGCTATTGAAATGTGACATCTATTCCAACTTTTCCAGTTTAGATCTCGGTTCTAGTTGTTTCATAAAATCTTCAGGTGTCTCTTCCGACCAGAACCTCAACATAATAATTTTGGAATCCTACTGTTATCTCCAAAAATTCCTAACCGTTGTTATGGGCCAACAGATGATTTAGTTGACGGTAATAGCCATTTCAATCAAAGGTGTGTGTGCCATGGCCTAATGGAGATGCCAAGAGAAGGCCTTCTCCCAGTTCATCAAGAAAAACATATGCTGACCAATGATGCTGGCTGAAAGATCCATGCTTGTGCTTTCCTTTGTATTTCTTTCAGGAATACTCTTGATGAGACTCTCTTTGCTTTTATACCATAGTTTTTTATTTTATTTTTTTATTTTTTTATTTTTTATAATTCGCTCCATCAGATTCTACCAAAGATCACTATTTCTAACCCACAACCCGCTTTCCTTTTTCTTTTGCAGTGGACATTCCATCCATTTATTTTTCACAGCAAACGTTTCTACACGGTTCTCATCTGGTGCCGGGTGTTAGCATTCTTAGTCGTAAGTCCTCCCCTGCTTTTCTATCACCTTGAAAAAAAGAATAGGTTAATTACTTCGCCTGTGGGCTGCCCCTCACGTGGTTACATCTGTCGCAGGCGTCACAAATTCTACGGATAATCACCTTCTACTCTACCCAACTCCCTGGCCCCAATTATCACTGCCGGGAGGTAACAAACACTACATTCTTGAACTCGTCTTAATGTATCATCCTCACCTTGATCCAGATGAACCGGGCCTCGATCTAACCTGTTCTTTGTCTCTATCTAGGGATCCAAGCTCGCGGTATTACCTCGCCCAGACAGCATTCTGGAAGTTCTCCTCATCAATTGTCAGTACCTCGTTCTTCTTTATTATTATTATTATGATTATTAGATTTCTTATTTTTATTTTTTCACTATGCTCATCTGCCCTTCTTGATGTTGCAGTCCCTCGAGGGGTAATATATGGGTGTGGTGACCTGATTTTCTCATCCCACATGATCTTCACCCTGGTCTTCGTCCTCACATACCAGAAATATGGCACAAAGAGGTACATGCATCAACGGGTCGGCTCGGCTGGTGTTCTTGGCACTCTTTGTCACGCGCTCCACTAGATTTGACAACATTCTCAGCCGTCCGATCCTTGTTGATCGTTTTTCTGCTTCGTTCTGCCTCGTAGGATCCTCAAGTTCCTGGCATGGCTTGTGGCCATCGCCCAGAGCCTCCTCATCGTCGCCTCCCGCAAGCACTACACCGTGGATGTTGTTGTTGCGTGGTATATTAACCAGTTCTATTCCAGATTTTCGTCCTTCTACTTTCCTTTTCTTTCTTTAATTTTAAAAATGGTTTGATTTCATGCCTCCCCATTCCTCTATAATTTCCAGGTACACTGTAAATCTGGTGGTGTTCTTCATCGACAGGAAGCTTCAAGGCATGCCCCCTTCTTCCCTTCTCATATTTGCTTATCTGTTTATGCACATTCATTCCATTTATAGAAACTAACGCTGGGTGTTTCTTACTTTAAATAGAAATGCCTGACCGGAGTGCCGGGCCGGTGATGGCTCTGCTCCCTGTGAGCGTTAAAGATAAGGACAGCAAGCCCAAGGAGGAGCATCAGAGGCTGCTTAATGGGAACTCCGCAGAGACCAACAACGACTGGGTAATTACAATTCCACGGCCTTTTGTCTTGTTAGGCAAGGGAGATAAATTGTCAACGCCGTTGATTCTATTGGTCTGAAATATCTTCGTTGACTCTATCTCTCCGGTTCTTCTAGGGGGTGGATGGGTGGGTGTGTTTAGCCTATAATTACAATTGTCTTATTAAGCTAGGAAAGTGAATAGTCAACGCCGTTGATTTTCTTGGTTTGAGTTTTCTCCGTTGACCTTTTCTCTCGTGTTCTTCGAGAGGGGATGAATCGTGGGTGAATTTTGCTTATGATTGCAAATCTACCTGATGATCCAGAGGCAGAGAAGTCAAGCAAATGGGAAGATCCTCGAGGATGGGACCCACGCCAGGGCTGAACCCGCCATGAACGGCAAGTAGCTGCCCTCCCCAGTGGCGGCGGCGGCGGCGGTGGTGGTGGTGGTGGTGGTGGCCGGGCCGATTCTCTCTCATAAGCCGACCGTCAGGGCTGACAATCTTGGCTTGGGACTGCCCATTCGATCTGAATTCCTTACATTTTCATTAAACTTTGGGCTCTCAGAATCTTCTTGGAGAATCTCTCTCTCTCTCTCTCTCTCTCTCTCTATCTATATATATATATATATATATATATATATATATATATCTCTTCCTCTCTTTCTCTCTGTCTCTGTCTCTCGCTCCCTCTCTCGCTCGCTCTCTAGAGGATAAGTTTTGTCCCATGATCACTTCGTAGAGCTGATTTCTGGCTCTCATCTCTCTCTCAAGGATAAGCTTTGTTCCATGATGACCATGCAGAACTCATCTCTCTCTCTCTCTCTCTCTCTCTCTCTCTCTCTCACTCTCACGCTCGCTCTTGAGGATAAGTTTCGTCTCATGATCACCTTGTAGAGGTGATTTCTCTCTCATCTCTGTCGAGGATAAGCTTTGTTCCATGATGACCATGAAGAGCTCATCTCCCTCGCTCTCTCTCTAAAGGGCTTATCTCTCTGCCTTCCACATCTCTCCAGGATAAGCTTTGCTCCATGACGTCTAAACAGTGTTCATCTCTCTCTCTCTCTCTAGGATTAGCCGATGTGTGGGACCACGGTAGGCCACTCAAAGTGTTGCTTTAGAGTCATTTACCCAGATCTTACGAGGATCCAAGCGCCAGCAAGCGTATCCTCACCGCTACTCGATTATTTATTTTCTTGGGGTTCGATCTGTAAATAATATAATTGAGCGGTATGTTTTAATAATTATCATGGAAATCTAATATTTCTATAATTGTCATAGCTGACGTGAGACAGCAGTAATAGTTAATATTTTTTATGGGTTAAAAATGGGGCGGATAAGGAGATTATCTGCCACGTCACCACCGTGAAATGGGCCGATTGTGCACTTTCGAAGCCCCATATTGCCTGCCAAGTCCCTCCAGATTCTCAACAATAATAGGCTCAACGGCCCATTATCCCGCTACCGTAAAATGGGCCCAGTCTTTCTTCGTTTGGCCCCTATCTTCTTGCCACATGGCAGCCTGATTAATAATTTGAAAAGTCCTCTTAGATTTAATTTGCTTATACCCATAAAATGTATTTAATTTATTACTATTTATTTATTTATTTACTTACACCGACCCTGGAGAACGCCTTTTGAGTTTGGATTGGGCATGGCTGACGTGGACGCCCAGAAAAGAGGACGTGTGTGTAGAGAGAGAGAGAGAGAGAGAGAGAGGAAGAGGGAGAGGGGGAGAGAGAGCCCGAAGAAACTGGGCCGAGCCAAGATTTCGGGCTTCAAGGGCCGCGAAAATGATAACTTAATAGTTTGGGTAAGGAGCTCTGGTGTTATCCTCTTCCTTAAAGGGGAAGCAAGCTGCTGAAAAAAGCTCTGATCTTTTTACTAGCTTTCGGGGAGGGGGGGGGAGGGGGAGCGTCGTCTGCTGGAGATTTCGCCGATGGGTGGAGGAGTCATGAGGACGGCGGCGAAGGCGGCGAAGGTAGCGTCCAGCGCCGCCCATGCTCCCTGGGTCGATCACGCGGCGGCGGCGGCGGCGGCGTGCAGGTCCTCTAGGGCGCCGGTGGCGGCGGTGTCTGTGGCGGGGCAGGCCGCCGCCACCGCAGAGGGGATGAAGTCGTCCTCCGCCTCTCCAGGCGACAACGGCGCCGTGGCAGCGAAGAGGGGACCGTCGATGGTCGACGATTGGGAGTTCGCCGGCGGCATGGAGGAGGAGCTCTCTGAGCGCCCGGCGCCGCTGAGGCTCGTGTTCGGGCCCGTCCCGACTCTGGAGGAGGCCAAAGAAGCGACGGCGGATCTGAAGAACGCCCTCGATCAGTGAGCCCCTCCGATTGCAGACGAGTTGATTTCGATTTCCTGGAATTCTTCTCTCGGCTCGCCCATATCTATCATTTTGTTCCTCACATCAAACACCATGGGCTCGATCACGTCAGCTAAATTTTATTTTATTATTCGTATGGGACAAAAATATAGAATATTTGCTAAATCTTAGTCCCAGATGCACTCCACCCTCTCGATAAATTGGGCAAAAAATTGGGAGTAATTTAATAAGTTTTCAACCCAAACTCTATCCTCATCCTGTTTCCCAGCCGAAGCGATGCCTCGTTGACTTGAAGCACCGTGGAGATTTATTTATTCATTTGTTTGTTCGTATATGCCGCATAGTCCGTGACTGAATCACGTTGACTCTGCGCTTGCTGTTGTTGCTCCCAGGGTATACTTCTCCTCTGCTGCTGCTGGCTTCGACAGCTCAGCAGTACACGCCATGTCAGCCTCATCAGGCTCCAGCTGTGTGGAGAGTTTGGATGCGAAGAAGGCATTGGTGGGAGTCTTACCTTCTTGCCCGAATCATGTCGTCCAGGCATTTTCCTTTCTGCAAGCGAGCCCGCAAGCCCAGGTTGATACGATATACAATAGTACTTTGAAGTGTTTATTTATAATTTATCATGACGGGTTTTGTGTGAATTTCCTTCATTTATTTATTTATCACAAATATCTGTTATTCTTATTTGGAACTGCTGCGTTTGTATTCGCATCTGTGCCCGCCAGATCATACATATCGATATGCCGTGATATCCAAAAAATAAACCACATCTGTTGACTTTCAGTCAGGACTTTGGCTTGAGTGTTGACTTTTGGGTGCCTAATCTAGTTGCACCTCATTTAGTGAATCTTTCCATAGCTCCCCTTCTGAGTGGAGAAATCTGCAGACTCTGAAATTGTCAGCCCTCTGAAGATTTTAGTGAATGCTGGAAATGGCTGTTATTAGGCTATTGTTGCCATAATCAGAACTCAAGTTCATCGAATCTTCTTAATCGGGAAGGCAGAGATAAGGTGCCTGATATCATGAATGGCTCTGCATATTTCCCCAGTCTTTCAGGAAGTAAATTTTGAGAAAACATATTTTTTTTGAGCATTTAAACCTTTTGGATGATAAAATCTATGGTTGACTATCCTCTTATCATATTAACGTTTGTGTTTCAGGCTAGGTTTTTTTATCATTTATAGGAAACTTCATAATTAAGAAATTTAATATTTTAGGATTTTAACATATCTCTAGATATTTTCCTCTTTTTTGATAATTTTCTAAATTATTCATTGGCTGAGCCTATTAATTCGGACAATAATTGTCGTTTATATCTCATGTAGGACGTTGTTGCCTCTCTCGCCTGTGATAAGAATATTTGGGATGCTGTGATGAAGAATGAGATGGTCATGGAGTTCTACAAGACCCACCAAATCAGTGAGTACCTCTCTCTCTCTCTCTCTCTCTCTCTATATATATATATATATCATTTTCCACAGCCGATTGTTTATAAATTCAGTTGATCTCATAGATCTGATATTTCCCTGCCTTCTTTCTGCAGATTCTCCTCCAGAGGAGCCCAAAAATGGTATCTCTATTGACTGAGATTGCCTGGAAGCCCGAGGAAGATGTTACCAAGATCTGATCTCTCTCTGTTTTCTTCATGCAGAGACCGCCGTTGACTCTTTGGAATCTGTCGAAGATCTGAATCTCAACAGTGGTAGTCCTATTGGAGAAGAAGCCCCTGAACGGAGCCCAGGGGACGGGCTTAAGGGTTTTGTGGAGTTCATCAAGGTGAAGTTCGAAGAGATGACCAATAGGCTTTCTGGGTTCGTGAAAGATTTCATGGTGGCAGCTGGAGCAGGTGACTCCTCCCCTGCCACTGCCACCGCCACCAAGACCACTGGCAGTGCCGGCACTGCTGCTGACATCAACTTGTCCCTTGGTGCCTCCTTCCTTGCATTAGCGGTTGCAGCAATCTTGACTATCCTCTTCAAGAGGGGTTGATGTGATCGATGGGGGATTCTATCTCTGAACGTGTATGTTTATTTCTCTTTATCTATAATGTCTGGTGATGTGAAATTTGCTGACTATGCATTGAGATACCAATGTATATTATCATATGGTATATGTTTCGCTGGTAAGTATGAAACAGTGCTCATAAGGGGGATCTTTATGGGGAAGTCTAGGCAGGTCATGAAAGACAGTTTGTTGGACTCCTGATCTGGATGTATTTTACTGTCCAAATCTATAGGTCTCTGGGTGCTCAGTTCTGACAAAGCTTCTTGCCTAGATAAGACTGTACCAAACACCCCCCCCCCTCTCTCTCTCTGTATTTGTGTATCTATTTATCGTCTCTTTCTCTCTCACTCTCACCGTCTCCAGTTTACAGAAATTGCTCATTCATCAGATTTTCAAGGCTTGTTCACGATTTACTAACTTGAGTTCTTGGGTTGATAGATGCGCAACTTAAGTTTATGTCATTAATGTTATATTGGTAAATTATGGGTGGTGAAAATTGTCAGCTGATGACAATACTTGATGTGGAGGTGACTGCCTGGAGAGGGGCAGAAGCGGAGGTGAGGAGAGCGGTGCCAAAAGGAGAAGGAGAGCGACAGTAAAGATGATGACGTCGAAAGAGGGAAGAGCGGTGACGTTAAAGAGCTGCTTAAAAAGGGAAGAGGCTGGTGAGGAGGAGAGTGGCGCACTGAAGACAGGTGGCATATCAGAGAGGATGATGATGAGGGATACTTAGGGCTCTAATATCATGTTGACACAAGTAAAAATCCTAAAATTTATATGCCAAACACAATGAAATAATTGTTGACAATGTCTCAACACTTCATTAAAGTGGGTACATCATCCATGCCTCCATTGAAGATTGGCATAATTAATGAAAGTAAAGCAAAAATACAAATATCTAACATGATTGAGCTTATGTACCCCTGATTTTGTGCAGATTATTTCACATTGTTTGATGATTCTCATGTCATATCTAATTTCTTCCTTCTAATCCTACCTCTATGGTGAACTTTATGTAATTTTTTTATGATGAAACTTACAATCAAAGGTTCTAAGAAACACTTGTCATGAATGATCAAAGTGCAAATATAATGTGCATCTCCATACATGTTAATGACGTAGTGATCATAAACAATTGATGATGTCAGTTCCAGATATGACATATTGATTCATATGACCAACTTATTAGCTACTACTTCCTACATGTCTAAGAATATAGCCACTTTTATCTAAGGGCATATCCCACCTTTGAGTCATGAATCATTTGGCCTAAGAATATGATGGTTTACTTATGGGCTGACTCGTTTTACACAAATAAATGTTGAATAACTTTCATTTTGTTGATGTCAGGTAAAATATATTATAATTTTTCTTAATTATTGTCAACTAGATTTACGAAGTGTAAACATAAATAGTCCTTAATATATTTATCAAATGAGTCAAATAATTCATAATAAAAAGGCATTTTGATGCCTAAATTGATGTTTTTTAAGTCAATACTTGTTCCTTAAGGTCAACAAGTCACCTTTTATAAGGTGAATAGATGCACATATTGCACTTATAACCTTCAAACCGTAGAAATGTTTAAGATCTAAGTTTGTAATTGTATTTATCATTGTATATGTCCTTTAGCTCATGATACAACCCAAGTCGTCAACTATTTTAGAAGAAATAATAGATAGTCCTATGGGAGGTAGGAGAACCCTTGGTAGGTCTCACTTAGTGGTATTAGGGCTGGACAAAATGGTTGAGCAGGGGGAAGAGTAATTAGACAATTGAGGTAGCTTAGGGTTCTTGTGGAGCTTTGATTTATCTTTCTATGATTTTCTATTATGTGCTACTAGTAAATCTATTTATGTTGGGTTTCTTGTCACAATCTAGGGTTGTATCATTTGGTATCAAAGTAAGCAGCTTGATATTGATGATGCTTGAGTTCTTCAACAATCATATAGATGCAATGGAGAACAAAATGGAAGGGGTCAAGATTGATATAACTAACATAAAGGAAGAGATGATGAAGATGGTGAAATACATTGTTAGCACGTTAGACTAAATATGGCAACAATTGGGCAAGAATAAGGAACACACATGACACCATTGAAAAAAAATGAGAAATTAACATAATGCAATTTGAGGAGTCTGCTCATAACCACCCTCCTTCATTCAAGATAAAGGTACTAGAGCTTGTACCAGACTACAACAAAGGTCAATAATCCCTTTCTTTAAAGGAGACAACCTAGATGGGTTAATATTTCTTACTAAACTATTTAGAGATGAATATGATTCCAAAAGAAAATGGATTGAATGATCTAGTCATATGTTTTGAATATGATGCCCCATCTTAGTATTTATTGAGTAGCGAAAAATATCTATCCAAGGGTTTGCAATACTTAAGGTGACAACAGCTAAGACGCTTCAAGAATGCTTCCTCTAGAAATATCTATCAATAATTTTTAGACCTCAAAGAAGAGAATTAAGATGATTAAAGGGTAATATTATTAATATTAATATTTTTAGTTACAAAGTATTATTAATATTTTTAAAAATAATATATAAAGAAATTAGGGAAAATGATTTCATTAAAGGGTATGTGAGATGTAATCGAAAATCAATATGAGCAGACTAATTGGACTTGTAAGAAGTGATATATTTCTCCTAATTGATGGAAGAATGACTCCACAACTTATGGGTAACATGGAATCCTAGATACCTTAGAGATCCTCAATTCGGCAATTGACGTAACACTAGTTCCTCATTAGGTTGAGATAGAGACGAATTCATAAGCATTCACCCAAAAAGTTTCAAACATTACAATGAAAATCTAAGATATGCTAATAATGCTATGTCATCAAGGAGTAATAAGCCAAAATGTCATGAGATTTGTCAATGATTGGTGGAAAGGTGGTCACTAAACCCCAGAAATGCAAAAATACAAGCACAAACGTAAAATTAATTATGCGTCAAATATAACAAGAGATTTAAATTAGATAAGTGATGCAAATGAATACTTCAAATTATGCTAGTAAATGAAGATTATTGATAGCTAAAACATAGAATAGATGGTGATTACAAAGGAATGGAAGCAGCTACCAAAGGTCAATAGGTGGTACTTAAAGGAAGAAGAAATCCAAAGATGATAGAAGTTTATCTCAATTCAATGGTTGACTTATTAGAGCTAGGGACCATAAAACTAGAGGGATCCATTCAAGGGCACATACCATCATCTTCATCAACCATTGCGAGGTAATGCATAATTTTATTTGTGAAACGCTTGTAGAAAACTTGAGCTCTATTCGTTTTGAGATAGTAGGTTTTGAAGTGATCTCCAATAATAAAAAAATACTAAAAAATCTTGGTATTTTCAAGAAAGTGATGTAAGGGTTGATCATGAAACATAATTGGGGAGCACAGATTTTAAATTAGGTATGAAATGATTGAGAATTTTGAGGTAAAAAAAAAACTCATTTGGAAATTTTCAATATGAAATTTATTGTCAATGGAGCCACCCAAACACCGAAAGAGGATCTTGGTTTGTGCAAATTTGGATTATACTTGAAGGCTATGGCCAAAGAAATATGGAGAGGTGAAACAATAATTATAGAGTTACATCAATGGCACATATTACAAGAGTAAGAAGATTCATTCCGAGTCATCGTTGACATTAAGAAGAGATCGCCTTTAAAATGAATTTTCAAATCTAAGAATTTTTTAACTAGTATAAGAGCTACCCTTGAAAGGAGGACCAACCATCCAATCAACATCTGTCATTTCTATTACTCCCACATTTAAAAGAATAAGATAGAGCAACTAGTTCAAGAAATGTGTTGAGCAAGAATAATCCAACCTTTGAGCAGCCCATTCTCAAGCCTTGTCTTATTTGATAAATAAGAATGATAAGAATTAAGAATTATGCATGGATTATATGGCATTGAACAATATTATAATTCTTGATCTTTAATTAATATCAGTGGTGGAGGAACTGTTAAATAAATTTTATGGTATAGCAATATTGACAAAATTAGATCTAATTGAATTTGGATGAAACAAGAATATATTCATAAAAATGGTTTTCAAAACTTATAATAGCCACTAAGAATTTGTGGTCATGCCATTCAAATTAACCAAGGCCCTCTCTTTCTAATATTTGTTGAATGAAATCTTTTAGACCATATCTTTGTCATTTCATTCTACTTTTCTTTGATAATATATTAATATAAAATTAAGATATGGAGTAACATGATAGACACTTGCATTTGGTATTTATGGTGCTTGTGAAAAACTAGTTGCACATCAATAGTAAGAACTATTTCTTCACACATAACAACTAGATTATCTACATCACTAGATTTCAGCGGTTGACATGATGGTAGATCAAAAAAAGATTGAAGTTATACTGAAATGACTGATTGTGAAATATTTACAAGAGTTCAGAGGGTTCATAGGATTCACAAGTTTCTACGAAAGACTTATTACAAGGTATGCATCTCTAACGGAATCCCTACCTTAGCATCTCTAACACGATTTATTCACAAGTGAAGTTTTTTTCGGTTGAGATGAATCAATGTAAATGACTATCGAACAACCCAAAATGGAGATGATCACAACACTAGTTTTGGCATAGATAATGTCTAAGGTTCTCATCTTGGAGACATACACATACATCATAAGATTGAGTGTTGTCTTGAAACAAGAAGGTAGACTAGTCACTAATAGCATGTCATTTCTATGTGATAAGTGATCTATAATTATCATATATGATGCATTAATGCATACTAAATGACATAAACTTAATGAGAAGTCAAATAAAATATCTTTTATATTAATTTCATGAAAATTGAATTTAAACATTAGAGTTTATTTTGACATAATTTTCCTTATTTTTGATAAATTTATAAATATTTTCAAAATATGTTGAATCCTAGGACTACTTTAAGGAAGCCTTTTAAAAAAGTTGATAAATATTTATTTAGCACTAATAATTAATA